CAAGTCCCAGAGCTTTTAATTCAAATATAAAGCTTGATTGGCAAATTAATATAAGGCTATGAATGAAATTAATGAAAGATTAAAGACCAACAGCTCATGCTGATATAAAAATTACCCCTCCAAAATAGGTTATGCAATAATTAGAATAAGTTACCACTATGTTAATATTAATTCTGATATAACATTTGTTCATCGATTAGATTTACTGATTCCCAACAAAGTTCTAAACCCTTAGATGTGTGTGTTGAATCTTTCCAGGCCCTGTTAATCATCTTTATTTTCAATTCCATAATTTTTAAAATTGCTATAAAGCGAATTTTCATTAATAAATTGTATAGTGGAGCACTCGAGTTCTCAGTTGCACTGAGCGAAATGAGATCTAAAGAGCCATTAGGACCATGGAATGGGTAATTGATTATCCCAAATTACTTGGTCAATGTGCTTGGAATCCTCGAACTCACTGTTTCCCTGTCAGCCTCTGCATCTCGTGTCAGCCTGGAAAACTGAGAAAGGGACAATCCCAGGGAGTGTCCAGCTGGGTTTTGCTCCCAGAGAGCTGCAGACTGTGGAGTTTTGCAATTTGGCCCTGAGTCAGCAGTGCCCTGGCAGCCAGGAGGGCCAACCCTGTCCTGGGGCATCAGGGAGCGGATTGTCCTGCTCTGCTCTGCCCTGGGGCGGCCTCACCTCAACATTGGGGCAGTTTGGGGGGGACACAATGGAAGGAAGAGATTGAGCCATTGGAGAGTGTCCAAAGGAGGGCAATGCAAATGGGGAAGGGCCTTGATTTGAAGGCGTGGGAGGACACTGAGGGCACTTGGTGTGTTCAGCAGGAGCAGAGGAGACTGAGGGGAGACCTCACTGCAGTTCCAACTGCCTGGGCAGGGGCAGAGGAGGGGCAGGGACTGAGCTCTGCTCTGGGGGGACCAGGGACAGCAGCCAGGGAATGGCTGGAGCTGTGTCAGGGCAGGCTCAGGTTGGATCTCAGCAAAAGGTTCTTCCCCCAGAGGCTGGTTGGGCACTGCCCAGGCTCCCCAGGGCAGTGGGCACAGCCCCAAGGCTGCCAGAGCTCCAGGAGGGTTGGGATGATCCTCTGGGGCACAGGGGGTGACTCCTGGGGCTGGGCCTGTGCAGGGCTGAGGGTTGGACTGGATGATCCTTGTGGGTCCCTTCCAACTCAGCATATTCTGGGATTCTGGAATTTGTGTCTCTGGGTTCACAGGCTGTGTCAGAGAAAAAAGGGACTTATTATTCAGTAGGTTGGGATGTAGAGCAGGGCTGGGACATGCAGACATTTCATGTGTCACATTAATTGGGCCAGATGAGGTATCAGGCACATATTCAGAAGGTATGGAAAGGAAAACCCCTGGTACTCCCTCTCCTAAACGTGACCTGTGTAGGACTTCTTTCCAAATTCTGCCTTTCTTCTCCTTTCCTCCCCTTAATGCCAAACTTATTTCATCCAGCCAACTAAACCATAGATCAGCAATGTTTCTCAGCTGAGAATATTCCAGTATTTTAAAATAAATTTTTTCTTCCATAATTGTGTTCAGCTTTATCATTACTTGTTGTCTGCTCTGCAGCACTTTGGTTAATACTCTGGAATTTTTTATGGACTCTGCAATTTATTGCACTGCTTCTCTCTCTGTCTTGTTTTTGACAGATGATAACTAAATTCTTTTGTTTCTGATCACTTATTTTTGTTTTATAGTGTAATAAAAAATAAAAACAGCCCAGTAAAATAGTGTAAATTGAGTGTGTGCAGCTGCATAGACCTGTTTTTCCTTATTGAATCAATGCATCCCCATATCCTGCATCCTTGGCCCTGTGCATCCTCCCAGTTCCAGTGATGGAAAGAGCCTTTCTGCTGCTGCTACAGGGAAAAAAACATCAGATACACACAAATGGTCCTTGGATGTCAGCTCTGTCTTCATGTAATCAGAGCTTGGTTTGGGTTGGAAGGGACCTTAAAGCTCATCTCATTCCACCCCCTGCCATGGGCAGGGACACCCTCTACTGTCCCAGGTTGCTCCAAGCCCCGTCCAACCTGGCCTTGGACACTTCCAGGGATCCAGGGGCAGCCACAGCTTCTCTGGGCAACCTGTGCCAGGGCCTCCCCATCCTCAGAGGGAACAATTTCTTCCCAATATTCCATCTAACCCTGTCCTCCTTCATCTTAAGGCCATTCCCCTTGTCTTGTCCCTCCATCCCTTGTCCCCAGTCCCTCTCCAGCTCTCCTGGAGCCCCTTTAGGCCCTGGAAGGGGCTCTCAGCTCTCCCTGGAGCCTTCTCTTCTCCAGACTGAACCCCCCCAGCTCTCCCAGCCTGGCTCCAGAGCAGAGGGGTTCCAGCCCTTGGAGCATCTCCGTGGCCTCCTCTGGACCCTCTCCAGCAGCTCCACATCCCTGTGCTGTTGGATCCCAGAACTGGAGGCAGCTCTGCAGGGGGGGGTCTTCAAGACCCTCTAGTCAGAGACTTGGCTGACCCTGACTGCCTGAATCCCCTTTGGCTGGCTGGGCCCTTCAAAGAGTCCACAAAACAATCCACCAAACCCCAACTTGTTCTGGGCGTTCATCTCCTCTTCTCAACAGTCTGACACCCCCCACACACGGTGTGGGATACGTGACAAGCAACATATCCTGGACCCAGCCAGCCCCTGGGGACCCCCCTGGATGCTCTCCAGCTGCTTCCCAGCTCCAAAGTCAGATGTTAAAACCTCTGGTCTCCAGTCTCAAGGCTTGGAGCATTGCCACATTCCATATTTTGGAGGGGACAGTGGTGGAGTCCTGGAAGCCGCACACCCACTGCATCAGCTCAGACAAGCCCTGGCTCTCAGCTCTCCACCTCCTGCATCAGGACCTGCCTGTCCTCACCTGGGAGAAGAGCAGAAACCTGTTGCATAAGACACACAATCATCTCCCTGCAGCTTCCTGCTGCAAATCACATTCCAGCAGATGATTTTCGCCTTCCTCGTAACTAATGAAAAACCCTTTAATTCAATGTGTTGACATTAAAGCTCAGGTCTCTTCCCTGGAATATAAATGGAAGTGGGACCCAGGCTTTTCCAGATAAAGGCAGTTTGGAAGGACAGGTTTGCTTTTTTCTGTGGATTTAACCTGCATCGGTTTGTTTAATGATAAAATAGCAGAGAGAGTGTGATTTTTCTGACTAAAATTTAGGTCAGATCTGTCCCAAACCCTTGGCAATACAGATGACTAAAATCCAAAGATGGCAGAGGCTTGGTTGGCACGAAACAGCCCCCCAAGACTTTTCCAGGACACCTACATGCCTTTGTGCTGAGGCAATTCCCTGGGAAGGCACAGAGCAGCACATTTAGTCCTGCCAACCTCCTCCCTTTCCCTGCTCTGGCATCTCCTTTCAGCTGCAGAAGACCCTGCCCACCAAAACCCCACCCAACCTCTATTTCAGCCTCTGATCTGCCAGAGGATCTTCTCTTGGGAGGATCCCTTTATCACCTGCTGCAGAGGGGGTGGTGGGAGGAGGCCAGACCCCTCTAGCAGTGTGAGGAAATGAATGGTGACATCACCCTGCATCCTTCAACTCGCTCACGCCTGGGCAGTGGTGGGATCATGGTCCTGAAGAAGGTCCCAGTGCTTCTGTGGTGAGGAACAACCTGCAGTGTGGGTCGTGTTGGTGATGCCAATGGAGCTGGGGGTGTCTGGGCAGCCTTGCCCTGTTCCTCCACTCCTCCAAGCACCACATGTGATGTGGAAGGGAATAACAGTGGTGTTTTCTCCACCTCTCCCAGCAGCCTATGTAAAGTCACCTGTCCCCCTCACTCTGTCCCTGCTCTGCAGATCATGTCCTAATTCATCTCCCACCCACTCCCACTGACTCTGCTCTGAATCACAGAATCACAGGATCACAGGATCACAGGGTCACAGAATCACAGAATGTGCTGAGTTGGAAGGGATCCACAAGGATCATCCAGTCCGACTCCTAGACCTGCACAGGCCCATCCCCAAGAGTCACCCCCTGTGCCCCAGAGGATCAGCCAAACCCCCCTGGAGCTCTGGCAGCCTTGGGGCTGTGCCCACTGCCCTGGGGAGCCTGGTCAGTGCCCAACCAGCCTCTGGGGGAAGAACCTTTTGCTGAGATCCAACCTGAGCCTGCCCTGACACAGCTCCAGCTATTCCTTGGGTCCTGCCCTGGTCCCCCCAGAGCAGAGCTCAGTGTCTGCCTCTCCCCTTCCCGTCATTTGGAAGAGTCGTTGGGAATCTCACACTCCAAAACTCTGCACCAGTCACTCTCCAGAAGATCTGGTTTTGTCCTGTGCTTATCCAGCCTCAGGATCCCACAGACTCCCTGAGCATCTCTCCTGCTTCGTCCCAACATCCTGCCACCACCCCCAAGACCGAGACCTGCATGTGTGTGGTCAGCACACGTGAGGAAGCTTTGCTGCTCTCCCAGGGTCTCATTCCAGAGGTGTGTCTCAGAGAATCCCCCTGGAGATGCTTCTGGTCCAGAAGGCCACAGAGGTGTTGAAGCTGGAAGTCAGTCCCTCAGGCACAACCAGGATCCATCAGGGAGCTCTCCAACGTGCTGATGTCCGGGGGGCAGCGTGTCTGCATTTTGCAATCCGAGTGCAGATCTCAAACCCAGATTTGACGGCGTCCTCTTGTCTTCAGGTGAGACACGTGGCAAGTGCTTGGCTGCTTTCTCCTCACCTTGTGTGAACAACTCACAGTCACGGAGGAGGGAAGAGATCTTGTGGTTTTGGAAAGGTGCTTGGGAGCAGTTGATGTGAGTCACTGCCAGGCATTGAGTGGCTCTAGATACCTGCCAGATTAGGGAGATGAATCACAGTCGTCGTGACCCCTACATGTGTCTGGCAAGTTGTTCTCTTGTTACCTAGTGAACAATCTGTTTTTCATGATCCCAAAATAACAATGTTTAGGCATAAATTTCGTTTTTACTTCTCAGCTCCGTGTGAGTCACTGGCACGGAAGGAAAAGGAGGAGGAATCCTCTCTATAGACTGCACATGGCTCAGGAGCAGGGAATTCTGAACAGGGAGCAGTCCAGCTCTGGTGGTGCCCCAGTGACATCCCCTCCTTTCCTGGGGTGACTGACTTGGCACGAGGGGAGTGTGCTGAACCAGGAGTCTCCACTGCAGCTCTTCATCCCAGATTATCTCCTGTGCTTCCTCCTGTCATCTCACTTGCCTCCCTAAGAAGTGTCTGGCTTGGATCCCGTGGTAAACTTGCTGGCTGCTGCCAGCCCTGTGCCAAAGCTTGCCTTTCAAATCTGAAACAAGAGCAGGTTGTAGGCTTGACATTTTTCAGTAACTAAGCCAAAGTATACGGCAAATGATATTTTTACCTTTTTTTCTCTGTGCCCTTTTCTTTCCTCGTGTCTGTTTGCTTCTGTCTTCAGTTTGCCTCACTAAAAAGAAAAAAACCAACAAAAATTCAAACTCAAGTGTCACCAACTCAATAATTGCCCTTTCAATATGTCCCTGTCCAAGATGACTCTGAGCAACGAGGCTGCAGGGTCAAAGACTTGCCCTTGGAGGTTCTTTAAACTAAAGGGAGCGTGTTGCAGTGATATATTTAATGCTGAAAGCTGTGTTTTTCTCCCTTCTCTTCATAGGCATTTCATAGGCATCTACTGACAGTTCAGCTCTTGCACGGCTGTTTGTTTGCAGTGGATGTGTGCCAGCTGTAACTTAGATACAGTTAAATATTTCATGTCAAACCAGGATTGCTTCCCTTCTGTGACCACCCCACAACAGCCAGGGGCAGGGTGACTTACAGATGAGATTCCACTCTCCAACTGCCAGTGCCTTCAGGAGCCCCTTGGGCAGCATGGAGGCAGGAGCTCACATTTCTGGGAAGGCTTATATCTTATATATCTTTCTTTTTTTTTTTTTAACTTGTTCATTGCAAGAATTAAAATAATCTGAAGCAACCAGGAAGGTGGATGTCTCTGTTTAAAGAAGGGTTAGAGCCCCTTCCAGCACCTAAAAGGGCTCCAGGAGAGCTGGAGAGGGACTTGGGACAAGGGATGGATGGACAGGACAAGGGGGAATGGCTTCCCACTGCCGGAGGGCAGGGTTAGATGGGATATTGGGGAGAATTCTTGGCTATGAGGATGGTGAGGCCCTGGCACAGGTTGCCCAGAGAAGCTGTGGCTGCCCCTGGATCCCTGGAAGTGTCCAAGGCCAGGTTGGACAGGGCTTGGAGCAACCTGGGCTAGTGGAAGGTGTCCCTGCCCATGGCAGGAGGGTGGAGCAAGATGAGCTTTAAGGCCCTTTCTAACCCAAACCATTCCATGATTCCCTGATTTGATAGCAGCAGATGTACAAGGAAAAGGGGAGAAATGCTGAAATGGAGCAAACTGAGCAAGGCAACTGTGTGAGGTCCAGAACTACATCCTGTGCTTGTGGATCTGCATTTGAACAGGGGACTGGACCTTTGGGGGTGCTTTGACCTCCAGCCACTGCCCCTGCAGGGCCCATCCCAGCAGCCCAGAGCCCAGAGTAGATGCTCAGGGACCACGACCCCTGCCCAGTCCCACTGTCCTGATGTCCCCTGCAATGCAGAGAGTGGCAGCAGCACAGTCCCATGGGGAAACCCCAAAGCCCCCCCCCCGATCCCTTGTGCATCCATTTCTCCTGCACAGAGGACCTGGTTTATCACCCCCAGACCTTCTTCCTCATCCCAGTGAGGAGGAGCCAAGCTCTGACCTTCCAAAGTTCCTGGCAAACGGGCTGAGCTGTGGCTCTGCTCCCTGGGGAGGACAGAGGCTCTTTCCATCAGGACAACTCTGGCAAGCAGGGAACAGGTTTCCCAGGAATGAGGCACCAAAGGGGACCAGCAACAGCACCAGCCAGGTCAGGGGAGCCCTGAGCCAGCAGATCTCCCACCGTGATGGGCAACCACAGCCAGGACCAGCAATGCTCCTTATTAACACAGAAATTTATGCTGCCTGTAAAGTACATTCACAGTGACATATTTAGTAACCCAATTAATACTCTGCGACAGACATTTTAGTGTAACTAATTCTGCTCCGTGTGCTCCCTTTAGAGGGATATAAATGGCTTTGTGTTGTGCTATTGATCGCTGTGGCCACAGGATTTCACATCCCACCAGCCATCCACCATACCCTGGGAAGGTCCTCAGGCTTCAAACCCCTCTGCACCTGCCTCTGGGGTGGGAAAGGGGATCCCCGGCTAAAAAAAGCAGCATTCTGCCCTGTGGAGGGTGTGGGCTGTGGGTTTGGTGAATGGGATGGGATGGGATGGGATGGGATGGGATGGGATGGGATGGGATGGGATGGGATGGGATG